CGGGCTGGCGGCAGCCCCCGAGTCCCCGCGCCGGCTCACGGCCGTGCCGATTCCTCCCTTCCAGCGAGGATTACGGAAAAACCTTCAAGGACATCACCAGCCTCATCAACAACACCTTCATCCGGACCGAGTTTGGCATGGCTATCGGCCCGGAGAATTCGGGAAAGGTAGGAGGGGGCGGTGTGCCGGGATGCTGGTGAGCCAGGAGCCGGATGGATCGCGGTGGTTTTTCTCCCGGAGCTCCCGGCATGGCTGAGCCCCCTCCTTCCCCGCACCCAGGTCATCCTGACGGGCGACGTCTCCGGCAGCAGCCGCGGCGGTAGGATCTTCCGTTCATCTGATTTTGCCAAGAATTTTGTCCAGACGGATCTGCCCTTCCATCCCCTGGTGCAGATCACCTACCACCCCCAAAACTCGGACTGCCTGCTGGCCCTCAGCACCGAGGTGAGGGCCAGGGAGCCAGGATGGGACCCTGGCTGGGGATGGCGAAGGCTCCCGGTGGTGCTTCCCCAAGGATGAGCCGGATTGTGGCTGCGTATCCTGGGCTCCATCCCCGGAGGATGCGTGTGGCTCCGGGATGGAGTTGGGGACACGTTTGGGGATGGTTTTGCAGCCCCAGATTTGGGGGGAGGCTGTTGGGGGGCCATAACCAACCTCCCGGCTCTTGCAGAACGGCCTCTGGGTCTCCAGGGATTTCGGAGAGAAGTGGGAAGAGATCCACAAAGCCGTCTGCCTGGCCAAGTGGTGAGTGGCCGCCCACTTTGCCGGGGGGCAAATGATTTTCGGGGGAGGGGGTGCTGATCGCAGCCTGCGCAGGCAGGGGCCACCCAAACCCCCTCGGAGCGATGCCACAGCCAGAGATGAATCTGCAGGCGGTGGCATCTTGGGCCACCATGTCCCACCTGCTTTTTGGTGTCGTCCCCTCCCCTCTTCTCTTCCTCAGGGGTGCGAACGACACCATCTTCTTCACCACCTACCTGAACAACTCCTGCAGTAAGTCCCTCTTGATCTCGAGCCACGTCTCTGGGGTCCCCATCACTTTGGGGGCTCTGCAGGGGGCTCCCGGCAGAAAAGCTGGGATTAGCCGGAAACACCCAGTGCTGGGACACTGGAGGGGGACACATTGGGACGTTGTGGGGGGACGCAGCTCCAGTGACGGCTGACGAAGCTGGAGGCAGCTCCAGGCTCGTTAATCCACCGTCCCTTCTTCTTAAGAAGCTGATCTGGGGTTACTGGAGCTAAAGAAAACCTCCGACTTCGGCAAAGCCTTCAAGGTCATCGGCACCAAGATTTATTCCTTCGGGCTGGGAGGACGCTTTCTTTTCGCCTCCGTCATGACAGAGAAGGTCCTTGTCCCCCTTCCCACTGCTGCCGGAGAGCCGGCAGCGGTGGCTCGTCCCTGCCTGCAGCTCTCCCCGGCGTCCCCTTCCTCTCCCTGCGAGGAGGATGAAGGACAACGATGCTTTCGTTCCCCAGGGTACCACGAGGCGCATTCACGTCTCCCTTGACCAAGGCGAGACCTGGAACATGGCCCAGCTCCCCTCCGTCGGGCACGAGCAGTTTTACTCCATCCTGGCCGCTAACGACGACCTGGTGTTCATGCACGTGGACGAGCCGGGCGGTGAGTGGGACCGGGCTGCGTGGGACCAGGACGGGGACACATCCCGGGGCTGGGGACAACTGGAAACCTCTCTGCAGCAAGCAAGCCAGCTCCTCGCCCGAGCACGGGGCTCTCGGCACAGCGGTAGCTCTGCTCTGCCTTGGAGGAAGGACTTTCTCATTAAGGCGTCGCTAATTAGCAGGCTGCTTGCTCCGGTTTGCAGCACGCGGGAACCGTGACCACGCTGGGGCCGTTTAGCGGCACTCGGGGGTTTCTCCTCTTCCCGAGACGCCCCGGGGGGTTCGCTGGTGCCGATGCCAGTCTGTGGTGGCCTCGGGGGAGCAGCCCCCCCTCACTGCTGTCCCCGTGTCCCTCTCACAGACACTGGTTTTGGCACCATCTACACCTCCGACGACCGCGGCATCGTCTACTCCAAATCCTTGGAGCGGCACCTCTACACCACCACCGGCGGGGAGACTGACTTCACCAACGTCACCTCGCTGCGGGGCATCTACATCACCAGCGTCCTCTCCGAAGGTGGGCAGCCGCGTCTTCGCGTCCCCTCCCGAAACCAGGGTTGGGCCTCCCCAGGGATGGGATCGGGGTCCTGGCGGGGGGCTGGAGGGGAGCGTGACCCCGGGCAGGGTGCGGCGAGGACGTGCTGGGCATCCTCCCGACCCCGTCAGCTCTTCCTCCTCCTCCTCCTCCTCCTCCTCCTCCCACCAGACAACTCCATCCAGTCCGTCATCACTTTTGACCGTGGTGGGGAGTGGGTGCCGCTGCGGAAACCTAAAAACACCACCTGCGACTCCACGGCCAGGAGCAGGGAAGAGGTGGGTCTGTCCCCACAGCGGGGTCCCGGTGCCGTTCCCCTCCGGCTTGGCTCTGCCGTGAGGATGCTCGGGGACGAGTGAATCCATCCTGCAGCTCCCGCCGGAGATGCCGAGGGCGCGGGACCAGCCGTGCCTGGGCTGTGGGTCGCGCCACGGGGCTGTGGGTCGCACCGTGGGGCTGTGGGTCGCACCGTGGGGCTGCGTGGTGAGCCCTGAGCAGGCTGGGGGGCCCTGGGGGTGCTCCTGGGGTGAAGCCCCCCCCCCACCCCCCCCGTGCCCGGTCCCCGCGGGCTCCTGGACCGGCTCTCCTCTTGCGCTTGCAGTGCAGCCTCCACATCCACGCCTCCTACAGCATCTCCCAGAAGCTGAACGTCCCCATGGCTCCCCTCTCCGAGCCCAACGCCGTCGGCATCGTCATCGCCCACGGTACGGAGCCTCACCGGGGCGGGTGGCGGGGACAGAGAGCCTGTGTTTGTGTGGGGGTCCCCCCCCCCGTTCACGCTGTCCCACCTCCCAGGGAGCGTCGGGGGGGCCATCTCGGTGATGAGCCCCGACGTCTACATCTCGGACGACGGGGGCTACACCTGGGCGCGGATGCTGGAGGGGCCGCACCATTACGCCATCCTGGACTCGGGCGGTCTCATCGTCGCCATCGAGCACACCAGCCAGCCCGTCAACGTCATCGAGTACGCGCAGGGTCCCCTTGCTGCGCAACGGGGGGCTTGCTGGTTTTAGGGGGGCCCCCCAAGCAAAGGGAGGACGGGGGGGTGCTGCGGGAGGTGCCTCCCAGACCACCCGGGTGCTGATTGACCCCTCGCGTGCCAGGTTCTCGACGGACGAAGGGCAGTGCTGGTATAAGTACGCTTTCTCCAAGGACCCCATCTTCTTCACCGGCCTGGCGTCCGAGCCGGGGGCTCGCTCCATGAACGTCAGCATCTGGGGCTTCCGGGGGAACTTCCTCTCCCGCAAGTGGGTCTCCTACACCATCGACTTCAGCGAGCTGCTCAGCAGGACCTGTGAGAGCTACTGGGGCTGGGGACAACTGGGGCTGGGGACAACTGGGCTGGGGACAACCACGGCTGGGGACAGCACGGCCGGGGCTGGGGACGGCCGGGGCTGGGGACAGCCAGGGCTGGGGACAGCCA